TTGTCTTGATTCCCAGCCAAAAACGAGCCGGAACTACCCAAAAATCATATCAAAAAGTCAAACAATTTAAGGGTTAAGAATCAATTTCCCAAACTCAAACTCCATCCATAATACATATACCAATAGTTAGAGCACAAGGAGGGGATGAAGACTGACGCCTGGATTTGTAGAAATCATCGCCAGAAACAGCGACTGAAAGTTTCGAAGAATCCGACCCTTTATCGAGCTCCAACGCCTCTATCAGTGGCTATCAAGACTAGGCTTCAGCCCGGACGTGATCGCCAGACTCCGGCTATCAATTCTTGACTGGCCTCATGCCTTAGCTTCACTAGATGCTGCCGATCTCCACTAAGTCGTCGCCCCCATCTCGTTCACAGAGAAAGAGAGGTATCGAGGAGAGAGATAGAGAGAGAGGGCTGGTAGGGGGTCCACGCGCACCTTTTGCTCAAAACCAGTTTTGTTTCTATATTTTTAACAATTTTTTAATTTCCCAATATACCTTTTTAATTTTCAAACCTTTTCGAGTTCTTACAACTCGGAATTGAGCGTGCCGCACGTCTATGAACTCGCTTCAACGAGCCCGACGCAACGGTGTTGCTCAATTCCCAAAATTCTTTCCTGAACAAAAAGTGACTGAAGTGACCCTATTCCCAAGGGCAAAATTGTAATTTCACAATTAAATAAATTAAATAGATTAAATATATAGTTAATGTTGGCAATTTTTAACAACAATATTAAAACCTTGCAAGTACACAAATCAAATGATAGTATAGTAAGTAAGCAAAGGTCGATCCCACAGAGATTGTGGTCTAAAGAGATGTTTATAAATGTCACGCAACGAAAACACAAGGATTTCCACACACACGCCAACACCAAGGTGGGGGGGTTTGATTTGATTTTGTGAATAAAATAAAACAAGGAAAAGAAAACAAAACAGAATTTAAATTAAAGTTTAAGAGAAATTGGTTTAAAATCAATTAAGAACAATAGCTAGGACTCACTATCCACCTCCAAACAATCAATCAATCCATAAACAATAATCGATAATCAATTTCTAGCAAGCATATGATGACGACACTCACAACAAGATCATGGCATTTGACTCGAGTTGTATGATTCTCTCGTAAGCGTATGTAAAGTGTATGGCATTTACATCAATACGTGTATTCTTAATTGAAATCTAGTATGGCATTTACTCAATTAACAAGGACGGGGTTGTTACAATATGAGTAACAATATGAGTGTCACAAAAACCCTAAAACATGGCATTTGTTATTAGGAATTCAAGAATCGATTTCTCATAACTAGTTCTTAACCCAATTATTCGTTGCGAACAAGAACACATTCAATATGGCAATTGACCTATGTTCTACAACAATTTAATTCCAATACATGCTTCCAAGTTAGCTACTCAAACAAACAAAATATCAGAATTCACATAACATAGAGAAACCGAAATCATCACGCCTGTAAAAACTAAGAATCCATTCAAACTTATTTATAGAATTGAAATCATGTTTAGGGCTTCAAGATTAAGCCCTAACTAACAAGAAATTAGTTACTCATATTCTTGGATGAACTCAAAAATAAATACATAAGAACTGAAAAAGTAAAAGAGGAAAGGAAAAGAAGAACTCGTTGGCAGATTTCTCCTCTTGTGCGGTTGATCTCTTTAGGACGTGAATCCTTTGTATGGGGGCCTTGGCTGGCCTTTTATATCACTTATATCAGAGTTCTAAACCCTAAAATTGACTGAGAGTTGTCCAAGAAGTCTTGGTAAACAAGGAATCCAAATAGAAAAGTAAAAATCACAATTCCTAACTCCATAGGGAAATACAGCTCAGCCCAATTGTCACACGATTTGGGGATATTCGGCCTTGTAGAAAAATCATTAAAAATATATTTTAGAAAGATAAATGTCTTATCTTTCCAACTATATATATCACATAACTAGGAAAATTCGGAAAGGCTTCCGTTTCTTCACATTCACGTAACATGTACGAAACTATTCTGTCTACATGTGGGCTAACTTTACTTGTAATACTGTACCAATTGGCTCGGTAGAAAATTCTATAAAAATCACAGATTGAACTTCAAGATGTTAGCTTTCATCTCCAATTAGCCTTGCACTAAAATTCCTCCGAAAAGTTGATTTTTCCTTTAAAACCTTATAAGGGCGCAGAAAAACTTAAAATCAGAAAAGTAAAATAATAAGCCATTTTTAAATCTAAATCTCCTACAAAACTTAAATAAAAAGAGTACATAAATAAGTATATTTATGGGCTAATCAGTTAAAATTGGGTCGGACTGTCACAATCACCAAGTTCCTTGATACGTTGAAGATACTCATACATAGACAATGAACCTTTGGAAATGCTCTGAAGCTGAGATCACGGCTGATTAGCATGCGAGGGGTAGATTCCAGCAAAACGCTTCTCCAAATTGAACTAGAGAGAGCGAGAAGATGGAAATCCAACAACATATGGTAAAATACTTTCAGAGATCGTGGAATTGAGCCAGATCAAGACACTCTGGTCACGATCGTACCACACTTCAATCGTCAGATCTGAATGACTTGGACAAATCTCAGTGCCATCAACAAGGCCAAGAGGATGATAGCAACGAAGAACAAGCTCAAAGAGAGAGCGCCCGATAAGGTAGTTGTCACGCGTGAGCTTCATGAGGACCATGGTGCAAATATTTTTCACAATGACTTGAGTAACAGAAGGTGGAGTCGAGAAAGGAGGAGAGAAATCAGAAGCCATAGGCAGAGTAGAATAATGAGGGAACTCAGTCGCCATGGAAGAGTAACAGAGAATAACTCAGAGATATCAAGGAAGAATGAGAAGAAGATTCCATAATAATAAAAAAATTCAGAGAGCTGTGAGGTGTGTGGCTCGTGATACCATAAAGCAGATTGTAAAACTAAGTTTTCTCACTATGAATTAATCATTACATAAAAGGCTTTTATATGGCCAATGATCAGAAGCATAAACAATAACTAAAAAGATTCATTCTAACAAGCCTAACTAATTAAGCTAATCCAGGCCTAATTAGTCGCAACTATCACGTGCTATTTGTTACTGAGTTTGTCCACTTATATGATAGATGGGCCTATGATCCAATGGTTTGGATTGCTCAAGAGCTGGAGAGGTATATGGTTGAGATACTGTCTTATATTGAAGTTAAAACTCTAGAAATTAAAGAGAGAGTGAATAATGAAATTTATAATTAAAACCATAGAAATTAAAGAGAAATAGGGAAGAATGAAATTGAGAAGAAATAAACATAATATGCCTCTTACCTGAGTCTTGTAACTTCTCATGAGTGTGCTTCAATTGATTCAACAAGAAAAATAATATGAATAATATAAGAGATTCAAGATAAGGAGAACTCTGTGAAAGAGATGGCGTGAAGAAGCAAAGGGATGCAAAGAAGAAGATACGCGAAGAGAAGAGATTGCGTGAAAATAGATTGGTGTATTTTCATAAGTTTGGAAATTTCATTAAACTCAACACCTCTTTTTGAACTGATTCCGCATAATCAGAAAATAAAAGCACCTCATTAGCTACTTTCCCTCATAGTTTTGTCTCACATCAATTTTTAACAATATGTGATTTTCTTATAGATTACCAAACGGGCTTGGCTTCCCAAATTTTTTTATTAAAAAATCACTTATCACCCACAAATAAGTAATGCCAAAATGGCACTAACTAGATATCGAACTCATTGTGAACATATATCATCATCTATGTGAGTTGAACCTGATACCTCTTCCAACCACGTGGAGATAAATACCAGTAGTCCAAAGACTAGTGTAAAAGGAGGTTAAACTCATAGTTGAGAAAGTAGTGGTAATTAAAACCTTAAAAAATAAAATAAAAAGAAACTATGAACCTATCAACACATTACTCTAATTTTAAGCTTACGCAAGATTACTTTAGCATTTAATTTAGCATCTAAATCTAAATTATTTGGAGCTAAAGTCATAAGGAGATAGAAGAAGAAGATCCGCAGTACACGTGGAAGGCGAGGAGGCGGTCATCTTTGGTAGGGAGGAGGGTACGGCATATTCTTGCGTGTATTAAGTCGTACAAAGAGAAAGGGGGATTATAAAAGCTTATCGACCTTATCCAAAAGCCATCATTGACAATTATCTCCAAGCCCTTAGATTTTTTTTCATTTTTTTATATTTATTTTTGGTTGAAAATAATATATAAAAAATGGACGGCTCATATCTATCTGCCGGAATGTATCATCCAACAACAGAATTTTAATTCCCGCGACCTCGCATGTCATGCTGTTGTGTGTTGCTTTCTTGTCAATAACAAAACGAAGACAATAATAAAATCCAATGACAAAAATTCAATATCCCAACTGACTTTTTTTTGGGGGTTTGAAATTTGGCGATATTTTATTGAAAAACTCACTCAGGGTTACAATATTCAATACTAACATTCCGTATAAAATTCAGAGATTTCGCAAAAATCCTGAAGAATTTAATCTCCAAACATTCTCAATAATGTGCTTAATACAATCCTATTCCGTTAGAATTTTGAATAGTTGAAATAATATGAAGAGAATCACTCTTAAAGAGAGGGTTTGAGTATCCACATTCATCGCCAAGAATAACTAGTAACTCCTCTCTTGGTTCTCAGTCTATGACACACAATGGTAACAATTTTGTTTTTAATGAACCACTAGAGTAACAATTGAATTGTCAATCAGTTTGGATTTTTACTATTAATTGTGTAACAAAACTTTAAAACATTTTATTCATGATTTCAATGGAATTCATGTATCAGTTGCATTGCATGAAATCACTTTAGCATGTTCAACCAAAATTCAGTCACTACATCTCTTCAATTTAAAACCCTCTTCTCAACCCACACCAAAAAGTTTAAGAACTCCCTTTTATATATACATTTTTTTAAACATGGATGCAAACAAAATTTAAACTAAACGGTCAAATCTAAAAGACAAAATATAACCTCTTTCTTTTCTTTGTTTCTTTTTTTGGGGTAAGAATCTAAATACCAAGTAATTTGTTTCCATGGAAAACAGAATTATGGAACAACTTGTATTGAGTTATAACTTATATGGTTCTAAAAGCCGTTTATAATCACATAATATCATCCTCATGTACTTGCAACTACAAAAGACAGATAGTGAGGGCTCATGACACCTTTTAGTTTGCATATACCACCAGATGCAGCCTAGGATCTGAAGAGCTAAGCCAGTGCTTTTAAATTCAGTCCTATGAGCCATATGTAAGCCTGAGTCGCTCTTTTAGGTAGTCCCCGCTGCGGATGGGAGGAAATCTGCAAGGATGATTCATAAATATTATCTCCAGTGTATCTTGATTAAAGCCAAACAGGAGAAGGAAAATATGTTCTCCTTTAACAAGGAAATGCGACAAGCCAAACATGAAATTTGAGGAATGCTTTACTCATGTTCTAATAAAACTTTCAATTCTGATATCCAAAATAACATTCGTATTACTACTTCTTGATTGTGCTCTCCAGATCATTGTTCTGTTTGAAGGAAGATTTACTTGCATAAAGATGGAGGACATGCCACAAGAAAATAACAGCAGGCCTTTCAAACCATCCTATAAGTAGCTTTTAACAGTACCATTGCAACAGCGATTTAGAATAAGAAACTACGGCAAGGACTATTTAATGGTCACGCTCTTGATGCACACTACTAAGTGGCATGTCCCAAATATCCCATTTTGGAAAAAGTAAAACATCTTGAAGTAGTATATGAGCTCTAGGGTACCTTCCCCTTGCAAGCCGACTTTGTAAGCGCAAGTATTACACGTGGGACATAACATTTGGTATCAGAAACAGGGTTCTACTAAGCAACTGGACTAGATTCCACTAAAGGAGTAACCAATAAGTTGGATTAAAATGCATTAGTATGATGTCCTCCTTGAACGTTGGTACATGGTAGGAAAGTGAAAGGCATCTACGTAATGGGGAAATGACTACCATCCAGCTATCAAAACCAGTATTGATAGAATGGACTGACAAGTATGTTAGGCATGAAAGCATGGTGGATTGTCATGTCTCCAATGTGGCATATTGAAACAATGGACAACTTACAAGTAGTATATGACCTCTTAGGTACCTTTCCCTTGCAAGAGAATTTTCGATTTTGTAAGGACAAGTTCTACATGGCATGACATTAAGCAAAATGAAACTAAAACAGAGAAAAGCTAAAGAATTGTTGGCATAAATGGAAGTGAAAATTGACACCAGGGAGGACGGTAAAATGGGGGGTTTTACCTTGGGGGTGATGCTTCACTGCAACAACTTTTCAGACATTCTACCACAAAGTCTTCATTGGGGTCTAAGAAGAATGCCACCTGAAAATATTGAGGCATTTTAATTCGACACTCAATTATGACAAGATAGTTCCCTTGATGGAAGAGAGCAAAGAGCATAACTTAATGACTCAAAAAATAAAAGCAGAAGGCCATTAAATTGCATATTTCGTGGCATTATAAGACAATTCAGTTTTGTTGCCTCTTATGTAAATTAAGTTTGTCATTATCATTTTCAGCTAGCAACTAGCCAACTTCTCACTAGCATTTAGTTTAGAAATTAAAAATCAAAAGATACTACAACTTTATATTTATTTAACAGGAAATGCTACCACATTGTCTCATGTCCAAGAAATTCTGTTCGACACTTTCAGAGCAGGTGCTATTGCAGATAGCACACAAAAAAAGTTCAGCCCAACCATTTTCATAAGTTTTTTTTTTCCCTTTTAACGATGTCAAAACGTAGCACACTGAAAAAATTCATTTGACTTGGAGGTTTGTCTTCTTCAATAGAATGGGAACTAATAATACCATTTCATTCTGGAGTGTAGTCATACGAAATGTTCTTAATAAGCAAGTAAAAATTGGACCAAAAGGTAAATGATTACAGAGTAGCGTTCTTGTCCTGCTGGCATCACTCTATGCAGTGTTGACCTACAAATAAATCACAGAAGAGAAAATTTATGCAGGCCTCAGGGTTCTAAATTTTAAAACATGTATAAGCTTGGTCAGAAGAAAATAGCCCTTCAAGTTAATAAAATAACAAATTACCTGAACAAACAATTAGTCCACCTCTCCAACATGTCCCCAATGTTAACAATGAATGCCCTACATATTCAAAATTTGAACATCATCAGACAAAGTTACCCTCAGTCACAGATGCACTTCCGTAAACATGTAGGATGCTTGTAAGATAACCCAAAACAAATACCCTTCCTTATTAATGGTCTAAAAATAAAAAAAGCTATAGCGAATGCTTAACTTTTAACAGTGTGGTCTAAAAGATAAATTTAACAAAGTCAATGCGACTCCATATATCTTATCAAATATGTTATGTGGGACTCTGCACATAAATGATTAAAGAACATATACAGTGGGCTCAAAATTGTTATACCAATCATACATCCATTTACATAAAAATTCATGATCTTGAACTTACCCATCTATG